TTGTGTCGTCTACGTTGTACATCGCAGTGCATAAAGCTGATAAGTTCAATTAAAACTTTAGGTTTGTGTATATAGATACGTCACCCTTGCATTGAAGTATGCAAGAAGAGTTTTCAACCAGGGTTTGAGTCAAAAACATCTTTCCGAAGCTAGACATTACATTACTCTTTAGCAATTCGTCTATATCACGCCTTATTGGTCTACATCCAAAGCTATTATAAAACATCTCCAGAAGATTATGACCACGAACTATAGTTGTGTTTGTAGTAGGAAAGCCCATTGATAAGCATGCTTTCAAGAAAAGAATCATTTTGGGTCTTTTTTTTAAATCTGTGTTTGTTTTTTATTGAGACGTTATTTGAGTACGAATAGTCGAATTTGGTCTTTGCATAAAGCTTATTTATATAAAGTGCTATACGCATCGATGCCTGCATTGTACTATGGCTATACAAATCTGTAACGCAATGAATCGTCAGTGAAAGACGTTTAGCTAATAAGATCCTGTGTGCTATTAGTATCGTCAATCGAGTAAGTTGTGTGTAAGTGCCAAACACTAATAAATAAATGTAATTAATTTAAATTCAATCTAACAAATATATCGAAATAGAGAGCTGAACTGTATCTGAAAGTATTAGTGGTAAGCTTTACCTTATCTGTTCGACGCTTCTAAAAGCCGAACGGCGTAGATAAATTGTGTTTTTGTGTTACAAGCGCTTAATGAAAGCGCAGCCTTTCTAGTCAGGTGAGTTTCTGTTTGCCCTCCTTAAGCCTGGTACGTCAGATTAACACGTGGCACCGTGTTGTTTACGCGAAGCGTTGTCCACTTTATTGCAGTTGTTGTTGCTCGCCGTGCGACAATTTGTTACTATTTTGAGCGTTGCTAACTTCAAAACGTGATTGAATATTTTTACAATAAACGTGCCTATGCTGGGACCGTGACCTGTCGGAGTCATAATCTAGTCTTTAGACTAACTCGTTAAATCTCCTAACTTTCATCGTGAAATCGTTACCACGATCCAGTGTAATTAGAGTAACGAGGCTAACTGTTCCCCACCGTCACAGGGTACGTACAGACGAGAACGTTAGGCCGTAAGCAGTTACGTCGAACGTGCGAGTGTAGAGAAGTAGACATGGATAGAGCTTTGGAGCTAGTGTGCTCATATTTAAAACTGAAGTTGAAAAAAGCGTGCCTATATGCTAGGTTAGGCTTGAAGTGATCGTAGTAGATGAAAAGAGAGAACTTGTCTATACATACATGCAAAAATTATAATGCAGATAACGATTATTGCACTGAAGCTTATCCGACGGTCGTTTAGCTGAGTTTTCTGTGGGCGACAAACGAGAGTTATTAGGTAAGTTCAAAGCGATACATATGGGCAAGTTCATTGAAAAGCTTACCAAGCAAGCATGCAAGCGCCGATTCTTCATAGGATCCACATCAAGAAGTGAAAAAAGTAGCCATTACATCGATTTATGTGTGGAAAAATAGACGCTTCCACTGTAGCTAACGGCTGCACACATACGCCAAATAGGGCTCCAAGAAACAACGTCTTGATCTTGATAATGGACTCACATTGCTGGAGGTGCTTAGCGAAGTGTCCACATTTAGTGCGGTCATTCGACGTTCTTTACGTTCTAAATTGAAAAGTTAAAGTTAAAGTGATTTTTCAAGCAAGCACTGTTTTTCCGTGTTACTTTGTCTAGATAAAGTATATCATGGTCACCCCGCGTTGCCAGCTAAGGGGTCGTCAAGATAGTTCTCAATGTATTTACTGTGGCCGCTTGACGACACTAAGTCGTTAGCGATCCGCTAGGGATTCGTGCCCATGAATTAATGAACTTCTAAATGCAAACAGCAAACTTGTTATTTTCAAGTTAACATCACTCGTGATAAACTCCATCCCTACGCGGTAGACAGATCTTCTATCTTTGCATGAGTCGTTCATAACGTTTAATACAACAATGCTGCTGTCCGATTAGCAGATTCAATCTAGTGACGTTTGCCGTTGTTATACAGTGTGAGTCGTTTCGTCGTCGGACTCTCTGCTGAGTTGTTCATTTTTCCCCGACTGAATTATCGAAGGGGAGCACAACGAAGCCCTAGGAGCAAGCATTGCGGGCAAATCCAACCAATTATCATGAACAATAACAAACCTCACAAGACGTAAGTGCGTGTATTAGCTTACGTCACTGTTCTTTTGGCGTCCGCTGTTACACGCTGCTTGCGCGCTTAGATCTGTGCTCTTTCTCGTACATGTCCCGCATTGAAGCCAGACATAACTTCGTGCAGACGTAATAGATACGCAAATTAACTTTGTCATTGTTAGCTTTGAACATGCGTGGTGCAAATAGCTATACTGAGTATATATGCTGCGGTTGGTTTGATTGCAATTTTATATAGTCTAATCGTTCGTTTGTCCGTCTTCGAAGCGGCGAAATTTTACTGAAGAAACCTTGCCAGTAGTAATGCTTGTTTAGCTTGCAATTGTCCTGACGGTAACAAATACAACACCGTCGGTTGTACTTCCAGCCTTGTCGTTTCGAGGACGTGTTTAAGCTCCCCCTCGACAGCAAGAGCAACAAGCACCAGTCTCACTTAACACGGAGCCATGATAGATTTGCTGTACGCTGAATAATAGTGACTCAGTATTGTCGAATAGTCCACTAACGGTCGTTGCGACGATCTTACGCATAGCAATGTAAGCAAATCTCTCCTGTAAGCACTTTTACTTTACGTAAGCGTTGTCCTTGTTTTGCACCATGCCCACGATTACCTTAGGCTGATGCCGTCGCTTCCCCGGGGGCCTGTAAAAGCTGTCTTGACAAACTGATGAATAGCCGCATACACTAAGCGCATACTACTATCTAACAACAACTGTGGATATAATTATTTCTGCCACTGGTTAGCGCGTCGCGCTTCATGTTGGTGCCTATAGACGCGCACATGGCTTTACGTGCGCCATTTCTTGGACGGACACACTTTTGGTTAAATTTACGGGAAAAAGATGTTGGTTGTACGATGACAGGCCGAGGAGACTAAGGAAGGCGATCGCCCCGTGGGAACGACTGTGAAAGCTTTTGGTTGAATATGCGATCTCCTCTATCGACGACATCATGTACTACTATTATTGTCTAACATAGCTTATATAATGGCTAGCATAGACATTAAGCGCGCGAGGTGGCCAGGGCCACAGGCAGAATCCGAAGAGATAAGGTCGAACGAAGCACTTAAGATAACTACTAGTATACACACATATAATTATGGTAGCGGCACTCAGGGCACCTTCTCCTATAGGTGGATTTTTTGCTTTATAAATGGGTCGGTTGTGTTGAGTATAATAGAAATTTACTTCGTGTTTTACTATTGAACATCTCATGATATGGGTAGTTCGCCTTGGGTGCCTGAATGAATTAAGATACATGTATGCAGTCGTTCTTTTAGCATACGAATGGCAGCGTACAAATAATGGATGCGAGATGATTCAAAAAAAGAGAAATCAGCGTAACTGTTTGTAGTGTGAAAAAAAAAAAAAAAAAGAACACTACTGTTATAGCAAATATTCAATCGTCAGAAATCCAGGGACGTTTACTGTGAACGAATAGACTTAGAAGCCGTTTACTTGCCGCTATTCAAGTGATAGGCTCACTTTTATTTACAGGTCGATTCAGAGCGCTCCAACTATCCGTAAAAATCAACAATCCACTTTCTCTCTCAACACGACGAGATCCGAAGACCTCATCATTTTATAATATCTATTATCTTGTGTCCTGTCTTTTATCTTTTTCAGCCGGTCCTTGTTATTTTGTCTGATAGTAATCTGCTTGTACTTTTGGCACTAGTTCTATTTTTCTCTTCTAGATGGGCTTCACCCTCTTTACACTATCCCTATTACTAAGCTATAAAAAAATTTAGTGCGTTCGCTGTTTTGCCAAAGAAAAGCATAGATATACAAAAAGAGTTCATAGCGAATGAGAACATCAAATTATCCGTAGTATAGCATGTTAGAAATTACTTGTAGAGTTATCTAGATAAAGAGATTTATACACGCACACACACACTCAAGGTCTGGAAAAATGTATTACGTTATGAATGAAGTTACCAAAGTTAGTTAGGTTAACCATAAACAATTGTGTCCAGCTGTAGCAGTTCGTCTCATACTATTCGAGCTTGATCTGGCCATTTAAGGGAAGTAATTAGCACGTCGTCGAGCTAATACGGACTCATGAGTGATGAGGCTGAAATGCTCGGACTTGTCCTAATCGACCACTACGCTTAACGTCAACAAGCCGATAAATTGGAGGAGGTCATATGGCCGTATGGTAAATTCGCGGTCCGAGCTATACCACATAGTATTGCCATAGTTTTGTTTCAGAGAGTAAAAAATATCGACATACATAATACCTTTCAAGCATTCGCACAACAGTATGTGATTCATGAATTGGTATAGGAGTAAAACGGTACGCGCAGGCAGATGCCGATTCTTTTCAGGTGCCTCGTATGTATGTATATATAGATATTGCGATGCGCAAAGGTTACATTGGATGCAGGGCCAGGTCGAAGGATCAGTATGCAATCAATTATCCGCTCTTGCGCTAGAAGGAAGAACAAAGAAGATGATACAAGAAGCTTTCCTTTGTTGCTTCTCAGTTCAATTGAACTACACGAATTATTATCGGGTTGTTATTATTATATTAAATTAGTCAAACGTGACGCGCTTCTTAGAAAACAATTTCTTTTAGCCCCATTGTCTCCTGTGTGTTCGATCGAGCGTTTGATTCAATAGCTTTTGTACTCACGCATCCTCTGACGCAGAGAAATTTTAAAATCAGTCGGCAAAAATGAACGTTCGGAGTAAAATGGAAGTGCATCCTCGAAACCTACTTTATTTGGTGTCCTAAGCAAGCCATACATAATCCGTTCAAGGTGTCGCGTATAATGCAATAACACGACTACTTCGGCATGCACTACGATAAGGTAATTATGACCGATTCCTTTACAGGATTGTTACCGCCGATCAGACGCGGCCTGCCCCCTACAACGTGAAGAAAAACCAGCACTGGGTGGTAAGTTCAGACGAAAGTGCGCTGCCTATAGTCATGAAAAGTTCCCGCAAAAAAGGATACAATTTGCAAATGTTGTGACACGGAAAGTCTGCTATATGGGGAACGGCCGACTCATCAACTGAGCGAAGCTGTACGTTTTAATAACAAGAATAATAAAGTCATAGGGATTTAACAAAATATGCTTTTTTATTAAATATATTGTAATCATCGTTATATCATTATAGATATATATGTATATATATATATATTTTTTTTTTTTTTTAAATAATATTATTATTTATTATTAGTTTTTGTCATTTCTTTCAAATAACCAAGTCTACGCCCGTCTTAATCAAGCAGGTAGAATCGAGCCACATACGACTAGTTCAATCTCTATCTAAAAATGCCAGGCAGAATCCTGTCTTGAGATTGAATGATCGGTTATAGAACGGAGGTTAACGGCTTAACGAAACGCTCGTTGCAGTCGATATCCAGAATATCCACACCCTATACGTTCGTAATTTTTACCTTCATCAGCAACGTTATTTAATGGTACGGACAAGCGGATTTCACCAAATTGTTAATTAATACAAACAAAAACAAGGACTGTGTGCCCATAACACAATCTTGCGTCAAATACATTATCAGTTTTGTCTGCTGCGATCATTGACACCTTCCGTATTTGTGATTCTTCCATCGCAGAATCAAAATTTTGAAAATTAGGCCCAACAAAAATATTTGAAAATTTTAAATGATTGCAGTGAACAGCAGCTTTCAGGAATAGATCATATAATAGATGAAAGCTATAAATTTATTGTCGATATGCTATGACAGTTATATGTTCTTATGCATAAGACAACAGAAGGCGGATGGCGAAGGATAGAAGGCACTATCGCATGTCTCGATTGTAAATTTCTCCTTCCGTTCGCATAACAGAAGTGCATTTGACCCGGCGAATAAGACTAACACACAAGCGAACCCCAGCGAATATCTCTAAGTGATAAATGGGGAGAGATATGTACTCTTAACTTAATTTGGCATTTCTCTATTTAGTGCTCAAAACTTCTTCCAGTTACGTCCCCACATGTCATTCGATTCTGCGCTAAACTGGAAAGCTGTATATTAATAGCTCGTTCGCAAAACCCATGTTACAAATACGGCCCCGGACTCATATTTTAGACCCTGAATTATGTTTTGACGTACAAACTAGTTTGATTTGGCGGCCTATCTTGACTTTCAAGCAGGCATTAGAAACATTTCAAAATCAGTTTGTAACGCATATCAGCTTGAACAACGTTGTATGTAGGACAACGCTGGATATTGAACACGGTCGCAGCAAAGGTCTCTAGCAAGCGGAGAAGGGGTAGACCTGTTCGAACCTGTAGTATAGCAGTATCATGATAACCACATTAAATTGCGAAGATTAAGAATTCCTTTTCTTAGATTTACGCTCAGCGGCGTCATGCCTTTATTCCGGTCTTTCCTTGAAGGAAGACGAACGAATGAGCAGACGAAATTTACGGCTCTGGGTAAATAGACCGATGCCTCTGCAACTCTTTTAGCAGAACTCTTAATGCTTCCTTAAGGGACACAGCTACTCATACACCGTCTTTGCCGTTATCGCTTTTCAGAGGTTTTTTCTTTCACTTTTTGAGTATTATGTCACTGCACCAGATATAGATAAAATGGCTCCTTCGAAAACCCCCAACCTGGGTTGGACGTAGAGTGCGCCATGGAACTGAATTCAGAGCCCTTTTCAATCGGCCCCGTATAACAAACCACCTAAAACGAGAACAGAACCACTATTGATTCCGCATTGGAGCGCTCTACGTACCAATAACACGTGCATCCCAAGCCCCAGAAGCGGAACCGAGCGTTCTCATCGAACTAAATTAGCATCATATACGAAGCGAAATCGGTCTGGCAGGTAAAATTATCATATAAAGTCGATCGCATCGGGAGTCAACTGTTGGAATTAGCGCTAATGTCTGTAAATTTAGATTACTGGTCGAGCTGTCATTCGCCGGTCAGTTATAGCTCATGCTGAAATGTCTGCAGGTTACGTTGATCTGTCGACAAAGAGTGACGGTACACAGCGCTTTGATATGTTTGATGTGCATTATACGCGCGATACTGGGAATGAAACATGGGCAACAGTGATAAAGGCATTTGAGGATGTTCTGGTCCAAATAAGTTCGAGCCTATCAATGTCGGGCCGCAATTTGAACTTTGAGAATCTTGCTGACGAAGACTTAAAATTTGTCTGTACACTGATTTTTTTTCTAGAAACGTATATATATATACATATCAATAAAAAATAGTTCGAGCTGCTTCGGCATACCTTTGAAAACTCGTCGTTTCCAGCAACATACACTAAAATGTGTCACGCTTTGATAATTCGTGAGCTTGAAGCAAGTTCTCATTCCAGAAATCGCTTCTGGCGCCGAACTCTCGGTACATTACAATAGTGCGTCATCTTGGTGAAAGATAATCTATACTTCGCTCGAAAAAAAAGTAGTAACTAATAAGCAGATCGCTACATCTGAGCAGATTTTGCGATATCTTAGTTTACCGTGGTGAGATTTTATGTTAAGCTTGCTCTCAGCCAATGCAGCTCTATGCGCTCTTCATTCATTGGGCTGGGAACGGCCAGCAAGGGATGCTGGCGAAGGATTTTCTTTGGAGAGGGCCGTCTACCTTTATGCGTCTTCCCTAACGTCCGTCAATCTCGTATAGTTTTTTCCCTTCCCTCACGAGTAGACTCGATTGGCCAGTAGTTGGTGAAATTCACCGATTTTTTCCTTTGTCAGCCAGAAGAACTAACGTCCTTCATGGAGATGGGCTATGTTCCTCTGATCCACTGATGAATCGCCCTAGTCAGTACTTGTTTATAGTTAGCCTGTAGGTTTCATACCTTGACGTAATTTATCGAATGAAGCTTGTAAAAAAACTCAGCCAGTGGCAACGGAAAGGACGCGTAGTTAAAACTCGTACGCTAAAGGATGACCTATACTCCTTTGTCTGAGTGACGCCTTAAAGACGACTATGGTGCATCAGTAACCATCTTGTGAGCCACAGCACGGTTTCAACACACCTGCACCAATGGGCCATCGATCCAATCTTCCAATAACAGTGGCACAAGCGAGACGATTAATTGCTCTTGACTAACGAATGTTGCCCCTTAGTTGTACCTTCTTTTTAACATCCATAGTTTTCTATTGAGGAACAGTCTTATTGAGGTGATAGGCCAAATGCGAGGCTCGTCTTGCAGGCAAGAAGTATACGATCGGCGAAATAGAGCATTGTGGTCCGTCTTCGGAGGTGAGCCAGCTGTAATGTTGACGCTTGTCACTTCAGGGCACTAAATTCGAATCTAAACGTGTAGATAAAGTATCTATTTGAAAGCGACCCCTGCTTCATGACGAACCGTGTTCAAAATCAATAGGGCAGGTTCTACAACTCTGCTTGTTTAGCTAGAAAAGAGAAACTGCAAATATGTCATTATCTAATTCTGCCCAATGATAATGCAGTGCACTGCGTGTCGCTGAATAACATGGGCAGACGCCAAATAACAAATGAGAAAGATAAACAAATCGTTGCGTGATCAATACATAGACTTTTTTTTTACGCTTTTACAATGCCTGAATAGAAATATAGACGAAAGGTAGTTTTTAATAAAACATGAACGCTTATTGACGCCGTTTGCTCGGTGAACAATACATAGAACTGTGTAAAATGTGAGGTTTTTTCGAACAAGGTATAATTGTTGAGACGAGTTCAGTTTATTAGATCAGAATCTGTCGACAGCGCAAGGCAAAACATGAGCTATATTCATGATGTATGCCTACCTTTCCGAACAAGCCTTTAATAGATACACATATCCTGGCCATCACATTTGAAACGTACGTTGAGTAGCACGGCGTTCAATGCGAAGCGAATAGCAGTGGTTATTAAGGGGAGGCATCAAGGAAGACGCCAGGCCTTTTTCGATCTCACTTTTCATGCCCCTACCATTGTGTCCCTTGGCATTCACTTACGCTCGTGCTAACTAGCAGTGGAAACTACTACGTCATCTGTGACTCCCCCTGCATGTATAACTATATCCATGTGGGACTGTGACAAGTCCAATGTAAAAATTTTCGGTGAGGGAACGCACGTGGCATAATTAACAGTGTGCCAACAAGAACAAAAAAATAAAGAGAAACCATGGCCTATTGGAGAGAATGCGTATAGCGGTGTTTAGCATCGTTGCGGGCCGCTCTATAATGAATCTCTCTCTGTCTGGTTTTGAATATTTTCAGTTTCTACCAGAAGCCCTTTTTATTTATATATTCGTATGTTCTCTAGTAAATTAAATGTTATTAACTTAGAAAAAAAACTAATTTGACTAATGTTCGAGTTCAGCGTGTTGTTAGTTCAGCTGGAGCCAACTTATATTAACAAGAAGTTGTTTCATGGCTACAATTTTTCACCATTATTCTTGTGTTAAAGTTTAGTGAATTTCACTCATGCGATAGCTTCACCTAGTTTCTTGCACTAGAAGTTCCTTTTTCTTATAGGCTTGATTGTGAATCTGAACGTAAAGACGATCCGATAGGCCCGATTTTCGATTGCCTTCTTACACAATCGGGAAGCTGATAAGGGAAGGGCTCCGAAAATTTCGCTTAAATATGGCATCTTTTTCTAGGTTCTTATCTATCTCATACGGGATCCAAAATCTCGTCACAATTATTCTATTTAAGATATTCGTCTGATTATGGATATGCTAGGCACCCGAAAAATGATTGAAGAAAAGAGACGTCAAAGATTCTAGACATTTCTGTTCATTAATTGGCTGGTAAATCTACGAATCTACGAAAAAATCATATATTGTTTTATATAAAAGCAGCGAATAGTAGAATGCAGTTGTTGCTATCAGTGAAAGCACTCGTTGAAGACCAATCAAAAAACCTCCTAGTAGCAAATGTTCTATAAGACTGAACCTTCAAATTAAATATGGTTTTCCTCTTAAAAATCATGTTGTGCCGTTGTTTCTGTGTTGCCTTTTTTCTATCACTTTCAACTAACTACAATTTTTTTGTTTTTGTTCCAAGCAGTTCTCCTAGGCCTTCTCGGTCGAATCCT